GTGTTCGAAGCGAACACACTGAGCCAGCCGCACGAGCTGCGATAGGTGAGCATTGCTATGAAACACTTATTACAGTAAAATACTTTGTCTATGATTTAAAAACAGTAGAATAGGATCTTTGTAGCAGATTTAGCATAACCTATAGTGCACCAAGGGGAGGCCTGCTACTTTACACCCCCCCCCAAAAAAAAACAGCGAAAAAAAGGAAACTCTCATTGCTGAGGCCTCTTTGAGCAATTTACACAATTTTAGAATTTATAAGAAAAATAATTAAAATACTATAATATTTACAATTAATTATTGACTAGAAAAAATAGTTATTAAATATATATACAAATAAAAATCTACAAAAATCAAAACTACGCATGATATGAAAGCAAGAGAAAAAAGGGTCTGCTCTCGCTGAAAATCAAAAAGCTAAGTGAAACAAAGCACCGGGGTCTTCAAAACCAAAAACAGAAAAGAATAAAAACAAATATAAATAAATCTGCGCTCTCAGCCTCCCCCGTGTTTGAAGCACAAGACCAGATTCTATGATGCACTCCCACGTGACAGGCGCTGAGTACAGTGTGTTCAGTCCGAACACACCATGCACTGAAGGCTTCACTATATGCAATATTTCAAAGATAAAAATTAAAAGTAATACAGAATAGGCAGATTAGCATACGAACAACAAAATTATATAAAGATTCTTTTTTCATTGATATTCTTTATATTAAAAAAAAAAAAAATCTGAAACATTTCTAGTGTCTTTAAAAACAGAATATATCTCAATGCTAATGATTTGCTTGTTTGGTGCTGCCATCTATTATTCATAAAAGAGATTAAAAGCAACCGTTAGTGTAGTTTTTGTGATATTTATCGAATATTTTTGGTGTGTTCACACTGAACACACTGCGAAAGGATTAAGCAAAAAAGCATTTTGCATAAAGAATTTTTTCTGAATTAAATTTAAAATGTAATTTAAAGCTGAAGTGGTAATATTTTTTTTTAATTTAAAAGCCATTTAGCAGTATTTGCCATTCCATTATATAAATCAAAAATTGAAAATTTTCACTTTTTCTTGTGATATCTGAAATCCTTTAGAGTTATGGCTCTCATCATCATGAAATTTGGTAGTTTGATATAAATTATGCTAAGCACTTTAACAAATATCTGGAGACATGTCTTCTTATAATCTTGCGATGCCTTATGCATCAGATTTTATATTTAAATATTTCTAGAACTCTTAAATAGTTTTACTTCAGCATCAACTTTTAAACATCTACTTTATATCTGCATTTCAGTGCTCGCAAAATTCCAGTATCTAATATCATTGGCTACAGTTTTGAGAAAAGAGTAAATGGAGGCATTATCATTCACTAAAACTGTACCTTTGATAAGATTAATAATGATAGAGGGAACAAAATAAGAAGCCACTTCAAATTAAAAAGTTAAAGGAAGCGTGCAGTTTGCTGTGTTAATTGAACTAAAGGTCTTTGGAATCTTGATTTTCTCCCTTCCTCGCTGCTATAACAATAAAAGAAACCCAGCATGAATGGCATCCCACTCCATGTAAATATGTCTTGGGGTTTCGCATATTGTTTAGATCAGATAGAAAAGTGTTTACCCCTTCAACCATTCCAAGGGCTAAAAGTGTGGTCATAGTCTATGTCTATTAATGTGTTGTCATCAGGCACATTGCGATTACCTAGCCCAGTATTCTTAAACTGGCACCTCACAACCTGCATGTAGCATGGCAACAACTTCAAGAAAGGTTTAAGATTTGAATTATTTGGGGGTTATAGTTTTGCATTATTTTCATTACTATTAATAAAGAAATTGAGTAGCACTTCAGAGAATCTTCAAATGGAGCTTATTAATTTACACTCTGACATAAATCTTATTCAAAGATTTGAAAATAAAGTTTTAAAAATCCTTTTTTCGTACTTGTCAAAAAATAAGTACCCTCAATTACAAATTTTTGGATTACTAATTGCTTTGTTTGGCACTACATTTATATACAACCTTTTTTTAAGCTGAAAATTAATAAGTGTTAAAAAGAACCAGATTGATTCGATGAACATCAATAATCCATGCTAGTTTCCAGCAATTTTCCTTCAAAGTCTATTGAAATCAAAATGCCTTGTTATAGCTGAAAACTATAGAAAGAAGTAAAAAGTTTATAATTAATTACATACAGTTATATATTTTTTCTATATATGTCAAAGAAAAATTCAGTAAATAAAATAAAGATTATAGATTGTCAATATTAATTTAAAGGTCTGCCCAACTGGAAAGTTTTCATACTTTATTTATTCCTAGTTTCAATTAAAATTAATGTATTTAGTGGTTAATTTAACACATTAAAGCTATTTAAAATGTCACTCTGAAAATTTAGCTACTTGTACATTTGAATTACAAAAAGACAGAAAATAAATATAAATTGGAATGTTTTCATTGGTGTCATGATTATTATTGTTTATGCATGCTTTGATAAATATGTAATGTATAAAACTGTAAATTTAATATAAAAAATTTGTTTTGTTAAAAACATTTTTCATTTTGGAACATGCCTTTAGATTGTGCATTCAGCTTGCATATAATTTGCTTTTAAGATAAATGCCCTAGCCAGCAAGTGCTAAAAAGCAACATGCGGGAATCTCAGGAGGAAAAATCTCCTGTATGCCACACCTTTTTTCTTAAGTATTTTATTCTCCATACCTAGACTTCATAGGCTCACCAGTGACCAAATGGTAAAGTCGCTAAACACTAGTAGTTTGGTCTGAGGTTCAAATTCCACAAACGGGGCGGCTGCATGAGCATTTTCATGGTCTTCCCTATGTTTAACTTGTATATGAGCCAGTTTGCCCTAGAAAGTCCTCCACTAAGGCATCCCTCCTCTTACGCAGATAGTACTCGAAGCTTTGCCATAATCAAATTTGCCAAACCATGGACTTTGTAAAGAAAAAACTTGAGAATGCCATTCAGTACATATAATATATATATTATGCAAATATAAAATTATTTAATTGTAGGGAACCTGCAGCTTTTTATTTCGTGTCCTATTTGTTCAAAAATTTCGTTTAAGTTAACTGCCTTCCCCAAAATATGATGTGTCATATCATTTTTTATTTCTGAATATGGCATTTTATAGTCTTTTGAATACATCTTTTTATTATATAAAGATGACATAATATTCTTGGATGAATTATGGAGGGGAATGAATCCTATGCTCTGTAGATGTGAAATGTCCAAATGCAAACTAGGTTGACATATTTAAAGTTTCAGATTAAATATATATGCAACGCTTTCAGAAATGTAGTGTATTTAGAGATCCAGGGCAAAGAAGCATGCATTGATTAGAGTGTAAACTGGTATTGTGAATTTTGCAGAATACAGTCAAAAGTCGTTAATTCGGACACCCATAATCTGGAATGATCTATAATCCAGACCTCAAAGCTACAAACTTTCTGCGCATGCGTCACGTTGACGCACGCACGTAAGACCTTTATGTCTGCGAATATGCGTGTGCTCATGCCCAAAATACGTTTATGAATGCGCGTTTAATGTATAACGGACGGTATAAGCTAAGCTAAAATTATCTAATTCAGTTAATGTTGCAGATTGCGTTGTTCCTTAATCTTCGAATTGGATTCAACTTATTATTTTTTACAGACTGTTAGAGCAATTTTATATAAATAAGCTTGAACTTTCGATTATGTCAAATAGAATTTCTGATATATATTTACTAATATGTAAAGGATCTACAAAGCGAAAGTATGTTTCGAAGTCCATTAAACAAAAAATAGATAAAGGCATATCCTTTGTTTATCTAAACTTTAACGTTTATCTAAATTTTGTTTATCTTTAACGTGGTGGCGCGCAATGAATTGGAAGTTGATCTGTCAGCACTGTCCTTATCTTCAGGGCAGATGTTTTTATTTTATTTGGCTTATAATTCCTTACTAAATGTAGTATTTCATCTCGATGTACTCCATCTTTGATATGATTTAAATTAAATTCCTCGTCATTATAATTCGCTTCCGATAGCGAAGAAAGTAACAGAGGTTATTGAAAACGAAAAAATTTCGATTGACAAATTAGTCGGTATTCTCGACACAGCAATTATAGGACTTGAACAGCAGAACTTTGTAACTGAACAAGAAATTATGTCTGTTTATAGAATTAAAGAGAATGTATTATCACATAAAAAACAAAGCAACTTAAACAACTTACATTGAAAGAAATGTTTAATAAAGTAAACAAATAAATATTAAGCTTCCCCCCCCCGTGTGTGTGTAAATTTTGATACCCTTTAGATCATAATTGTTCTTTATTTCATAAATTATGGTTTCATATTTTTAATTTTATAATTTCTGCATGCCATCTTACCAGATTTAAACTGATGATCTATAATCCAGAAAAATCAATAATCTGGAATCGCCGAAGTCCCGAAGAGCACGGATTAACGACTTTTGACTGTATATATTTATGTGTATAGTGTTCTATTTTTAGTTTTGTTGTTAATTAAAGAAATATTCCAAATGCATTTAATTTTGTCTTTTTGTATATTTTCTGTGTTTCCATTAAACAAAGAAAAATTTGAAAGTGAATGCAAAGTTCAATAAATAATTTGAAATATGAATTTGAATTTAGTGTAAATAAATTAAAATTTGCATCACAGATCACTGTGTGATTAGTTTCTTTAATGAGTGATATTCTTGGGTTAAAGGGAAGAAAGCAGAAATTATTTTGGTGTTTTATTTTCTTAATCTATGAATGATCTCATGTATTTTTATTATAATTTTGTTATTCATTGTCAGTAATTTTAATAATTTTAATGTGGCTTTATCTAATGTTAGTGTGCTTATGAAAAGTTTTACATAAATTTTTAAAAGAATTATTGGATTCACCATCTGTTATCAAAGAAGTTGATTCTGTGTATAGTTCGTGTAAACAAATATAAAGTGCAACTGTTATTTTGGTTGATTTGATTCATTGTGTTATTTATTTTCCAGGAACATGCCTTTGAATCCAGCCAAAAATATAAAGAAGGAAAGTTTATCATTGAGCTAGCTCATATGATAAAAGAAAATGGTTGGGATTAACCTTACAAGTTGTGAGTGCTCTGATCGAACTCATTGCCCGAACTGTGCAGGCGCCGTTTTAGCAGTGGAAAAAAATCAGCAGCAAAACTTTTCTCAACTATGCTTGAACTGATTTAGTGCTCACAACATGTTAAAATTAAATCATCTCTCATAGCAGTCAAGCTAGGTCAAATTTAAAATACCTACCTGCTGAACATTTTTTTTTTTTAAAGAAATACTATGTCTAATATTGCCATCGCTGTGCATCAGTGTTTTGTATCACATGTATTCCTGCAACTTATGGTGATCATAACTATACATTTTCAATAGATCTACTGTAGGTATATGATACTGTTAAAACTAATTTTAAGTTATATTTTTAATTTTTAAAAATGGTGTTTTATATTGTTTTTTCAGTAATGTAATGTTATGTTTTCCGCATGCCATAATTAAATATTTCTAAATATGTTAATTCCATTAAATAGAAATATCTATCTTTTTTATGCAGTTGTGAAAGAAGGGAAATGTCATCTTTAAATGAATAATGATTTTTATCATAAAGACGTGTTGCAGGTAGGATTAAAATAGCTTGGCACTCATGCTGTACAAATCATCACTTGGCTGCACTTCACTGTCATTCATGTTCATAATTTGTACATAACTTTTTTAACTTTTTTTGTGTCACCATTATTTTTTCTAACATTCTTAGCGCTCTCCTAAATCATATTCTGTTATCAGTGAGAATGACAAAATTTAATTTTTAAAAAGGCAGAGTTTTAAGTTTATGTTACTCTTCAAATGTGGGCTATTTGTTATCCAGCTGTTTAAAAAATAGTCATATTTATTCATTTATTACAGTGAATGCAATTTGTTATTTTATTTTGATTAAAGATGCATGAAATAGAGAGAAAAATTTGTTGTTTAAAATCATTTAGGCATTTATGAAGCTGAAATCTTCTTCTATGGAAGTTGTTTGAGCTAGGTAAACCATTGAAATAGGACTTTAATCAAATTTGAATTGTAAAGAGAGCAATTATAAAATAGACTATGAAATATGTAACTAACTTGTACAGAAACAGGCTTTTTTATTTGAATAAACTAGTGAATCCCAGAAACCAATGAGTGAGAAAAAATATGTATATATATATATAATATATCTATATATAAATGTAAATGTTACCGTGATACATGTTGGGGGATTAAAAATAGTTTTGTTAACTTATTTATTAGTTCCTGAATACAATGTAAGATATAGTTGCTTCCATTTCTCAACATTGTATAGTTTTACATAATGTACTGAAATAATTATCAGCTGTGTTGCTTGGGTGTTGATGTCATCCAGAATCTAAGGTGAAATATATTTTTGGTATAAACTCTTGGTTTAGTCCAATTTAGTCTCAACGAATCGTGATATTATTAATAGCACTAAATCAAGTGTTTGTTTGGTCCAGGAGTTCACATTGCTGTTGTGAATATTTTGTTTTTATTTATTACCCTTAGGTGTGTGAATTGCTTATTTGTGAACAAGTGTTGTCTTCCTTGTTTAAATGAATAAAAGCCTTTTTGCTTTGATGTGTTTTGTTTATTTTTACACCGAGTACAAATGCTAAAATCCCTGATTTTCCACATTAATTAGGACAAAGATAACTAAAAAACATGGATAATTTCAGAATGACTATTAAAAATGAACTCTTCAGATGTAAAAAAGCATACAGTGTATAAATTGTTCTCCTTCTCCATCGCATTTGTTATTTTCTGCAAACTCAATGTGTGACAATCAGGCACAATGACTATGCAACAACTTCAGACAAATATGGCTAGTATTACAAAGTGCTATGACTGCAATAAACTCAAATTCAACTTGTTGATACATGAGGTTTAAAGGCTAGTGTACATATTCCAGTGGCCAATCATTATTTTTTTTCTCTTTTCTCCTCACTGGTGTATTGGCTTATCTTGAGTTATAAAATTCATCATGTTCTTTTTGTAATAAAGTCTGTGTCTGGTCAAGCGTAACTTTCATTTTAGAAACATTTAATGGACGACTTTAATGCCCATTGCTGTGACATATCTTTCTTTGCAGAACCTTCTTCCTTTATGAATCTGAGAATTAGTTTTATAGAGGGGAGGGGAAGACTGGTTGTTTTTTGGCTTTCTTTGGAGCATTAACATCAAAGAGATCGTTTGGGGGAAGACTGGAGATGATACATGGATAATCTATGCAATAGATAATTAAAGGTTTAGTGGAAATAATGAGATCTAATGTCTCAAGGACTTTAAACTTTCCATTTGATCATAATGAAAAAAGTTAAGAGGAGTATAGTTAGTGATAATGGAAGGAGATATTATAAATAATGTTCTATGGCTACTCTTTAATTTTTGATGTCACCCACAGCTAAATGAGATTGCCTGACATACAGCATTCTTTTAAGAGCCTTTTTAGTTCATTTTACTAGTTCTTATAAACCACAAATATATGTTTGCATGTTTTTCATGATTATAAGATACTTCTTAGGCCTTTTGAAACCTAGGTATATTGGCCTGGGCAGACGTGGTGAGATAGCTCCCCACAACAAAGCAGTTTTAGGGTTGCCATAAAATGGCAAGGGAAGTCAGGGTTGCTACATGTGGCAAGAAATGACCCATTTGGCGACAAAATTGGCAATATGACATGGACAGACTGAGAACCTTCTGGAACGAATTCTTACCGGTTTAGCCCAGAATGTTCTCGAACACTATATAAAAGCTATATAAACCCTGCTGGTACATGGAGAGTTAATTAGTATTGAGATGGTGTCACGTCTAGCGAGTCGATCGCGTTGACAGCTGGGCAGCGAGTGGGTTGTTGAGTGCACCGAAAGAGTCTCCTAGTGCATTGGCGAGAGAGCGTGTTGAGCTCCGGGAACGACTAAACCGAAAAGTCGGGAGCTGTGCTCTGTGTGTCGTCGAGTGCACTGCGAGTTGTAGTGTGGAGAGTCTTGAGAGTACGTGGAGTTCCGAGAATGACCAAGCAGAGTCGGGAGCTGTGCTCCACCGTGATAACCTGAAGGCTGTGTTGCTGATTGTTCCAGCAAGTGTATAGTAGATCTTCGACAACTGTAAAACGTGACTTTGGAGCTGTCCTGATTAATATTGGCTAAACAAAGTATGTTTCAATACTTCATCAAGTTTCGTTGTTATTCACTCGCAAATCTACAAATGTGAAGGAAGAAAATAACCTAACAACCGGTGTCAGAAAATGAAATGTAACAGTATTATTTGAATTCTTGCCAAAGGCAGCATCTGTTTCTTACTTTTAGAGGAAGATATCATATGATGTTAATTATATTGCTTGAGGCAATCAGCTAGGTTTTAATTAATTATAGGCAGTTGTGTGTTCAGTTATCTACTTGCTAATTTTTGTTGAGATAATTTTATATTTTGAAAGTGGGGGGAAGCCACTTACAAAGTGCTATCAGATGTAATGGAATTGAAGGTGTAATTTACTATATTGTTAGTCAGACCCATTGGCAAATAATGATCACAGGCTAGATATTTTCAAATAGAGATTAAAAAATTAATGTAATTAAAAAGCACTGGAAATGATTTATTCAAAGTTATGTGCATACAAGAAATGTTTTTCAGAGGTTGTCGAAAGTTATATTGACATCGGGCCGCAATCTCTATTTCATTTTCTTCTGTAATTCTCAGATAAATTCTCTGAAGTATTGTAAATAAACTTTTGAAGACCACATTTTATCCCCCCCCCCAAATAGACATTTAGAGTGTTATAAGATGTTTAGGGAGGACAAAAAAAAAAAAAAGAATTGTTAAGCTTTGGTAGACCATTCACTTTAAATAATGATGATGTGTTGGGCAAGTCAGAGATCAAATGCGTACAAAACATTGTTTTAACATTTAGGGATATTACTTAGTAAAGATATTACAACATGAAGCATAATTCGTAGTTCAGCTATGTGCATGTGAGGCATGGAACTGCATATCGGGTAACAAATCCTTCTTGCCGTATAAAATTTGCACTAAGATTTAATAATTTAGAGGTGCAGTGATTATCCGCAACGATTTCTTAGGTTCATTTTCGTTCGCATTTGACCAGATTAGTTATTTGTAAGAGAAGATCGGGCGGAGGATAGTTTTAAAATTATAGTTAAGACATTTTACAAGCAAGATCGAGTCGCGAGTCATTTCAGAATATTGGGAATACTACCGTGTAACTTTCCATGTACACTGTTAATGTGCATGGACAAGTGAATAATCTATTGAAGATAACTCCTAAATATTTATCCGAATGTACAATTAGGACTTGCTTTCCGAAATATCCTTACAGCCTAGAGTATCTTGACCTTTTTTTTTCCTGATTAAAGATTTGGTATTTTTCTGGAGTAAGATTTTTATCATTCAGTTCTAACACAATATTTCAATCTTTGGAATCTTGTCCTGGTTCCTTTCAAAAACATGATTCAGCCATGTGTCGTGGCATAACACGCAGTCATGGTTTTGGTGTCATCTTTAAATTTTCGGAAGTCGCCTGCATAAATTTAAAACGAAATGGCCCAAAGATGGAACCTTGGGGAATAACTGTAAAATTAGGTGTGGCGGATATAATCTCTTTGTGTTACTCAGAAAGTGCTGCTGGGAAGAAATGATGCTATGATTAGAACCAGTGCCCGAGGAACGTTAATCTATAGAGACTTGTAAATAAATTTTTTATGCCAGTCGCAGTCAATGACTTAAGCCATGTCTAACATAAAAACAGTTGTACTAGATTTATTAAGTATTGTTGTTCCAATGAATTCTGAAATCAATACTAGTTAACTAGTCACGATTTGCGCAGAAAATGGCGTCAGTCTGCTGTAGATAGTGCGGTCCGAGACCTTTCCCAGTGATGACAGAAGACTAATCGACCAATTATTTGAGGTATCTTAAGGTAATTCTTCAGGCTTAAGGATGATGAAAATGTATGCTTCCAAAACTGCAGTATGAGTGATTCTGCGAGACATGCGTTAAAAGATACTGGTAACTTTGCTGGTGATACAGTGTCAGAGGCTTTTCGAAGTTAGTTTGTAATGCAATCGCTTCCAGGAGCTTAATTTTATCCAAAACTTTCCTACCTGTGGTTAACTGTCTCAGTTTTGGAGGAAGGAGAGTCCGTAGTTCTTGAAGTATCATTCTGCTTGAATTGTTCTGTCAGATAAATTGCAAAGGCACCAGTTTTATCCTGATTTGAGTATGCGAGTCCGTGTGGAGTTTCAATTGGACCTAAAATGCAGATTTCGCACCTGAAATTTCTAGCGAAATTCGAAAATGAACCATCTTTAAAATTAACAATTTTTATTCACCATTTTTCGTTTCTGTAATACGCGCAAGTAATTATCCATGCATATAGTTTTCATTCACAAAAGTCGTGCCTTGAGACCGGAAGCCCTGAAGATTGGAAATGAAGTTATGAATAACTGTATCAGTATAAAGTGTAGATTTTAAGTTGCTCCTCATTATGATGTTACAGCCATATCGGTTAATTACTCGTAGTTAAGTATGTGAGGTTTTCCTAACCGAGGTGCTGGTAATAGCGTGATAAAATTCATGCTGATACCAGCATATCAAGAAGTATCAAAGTGTTGCCCACATTTGAATGGCACCATTTTTAAGGAGTCTTTCTGCACCGATCCTTCAGTTCTTGCAGTAGGTGGATGATAAATCAGTAATCACCTTCAGTGACATAGGAATGCTGGTGGAAGAACGAATAAGTCCAAAATGTGATGCCAGTCAGGGATGTTGGGGTGACATAAGTTGTCACCTCTGGAACAAACATGTAAATAGGATAATTCTTCACGTAGTTATGAATTACTTGACGTTTCCGTTTGACGAGTGGCATGGCAAGGGGGTGTATGATGCCAAGGGCACCAAATGGTCTCCAAACAAGATTTTCATCATATAACTTTGTTTTTTTGGGGGAAGGGGCACCAAAAAGGTATTTTGCCCAGGCGCCAGTTATGCTCGCTACTCCACTGCGTTTGACCGATGGCAACACCCCTGTCGACGAGTTTGGCGTCGAGATCTCCGATGATTATGGGACTTTGATTCTGGAGAAGTGAGTCTAGATCTTTTAACTTTACGATATTATCCAGATGGTTGTATTTAGAGGAAAAATAAATGTTCCCCATCATTGGAAGCTTGACTTTACTTTCACAATTTCGTGTGCCTTATTATTATTATCTGTAGATAAAAGACATGATTTATAAGTACACTTTACATAAATGAGCACTCCGCCTCCTAGATGGCGCTATCTATCGCACCTGAATGAGTTGTGTAATTTGTTAGCTTAAAGTTTTTAAAGAAAATGTTTGGGTTTCTGTTTTAAGGCAGATATCCGCGTCCTGTCTCTTGACAATGTCCTGCAATTTTTGCATTTCGTTGTAAGATTTTGCGGCTTCCGTAACACAATTTTGATCAGAGAGTACGAGTTGGAAGCTTGTCTATTCATGCTGCTGGGTTTGAGGCCTGATTAGAATTCCAACAATATTGGAGATCTTTTATAATAGTGATTGAGTCTTTTAAAATAGTGTTTGTGG